CAATCCTCTCACCTCCCTGCCCCCAGGCCTCCCTTTCCCCCCCTCCATCTCCCCTTCCTGCCCCTCCTAATCCTCCCCTCCATGCTGTCCCCTCTCCCTTTTCCCTCTCTGACCACCAGAGCTGCTCCCCACCCCTCACCAGGCACCTCCAATCCCTCTCCCTGACCTTGCAGCAACTTTGATTCCCCAGCTGTAACGTGGGAAACTGCCTGCCGTGCTCTGCTTCGAGTACTCACGTATTTTTAGCTGCTTTTCTCTGGTTAGAGGGGTCGGACTGACAGGTAGCGTGCGTTCATCCCCGAGGCTGAGCTCCCCGGTCAGCTGTAGCGCTGGGCCGGGCCCGTGCTCTGCCAGGTTTCTAAAACAGGCATTGGTACATCCTTATGTCATGGTATCTTGTGCCTGGCTCTGTTTGGTTTGGCCCCGTGCCGTTCTGCTGCTTCCCCAGCTGGGTAACGGGGGCTGAGCGAGGGCGTAAAGATCCTCGCCTCGACTCTCTGGAAGCTGACCCCCATATCCAAAAGATTTAGTAGCAACTTTTTTGGGTGTTTGTACCGAGAAAACGCTCAAAATGAGTCATCTGTCATTACCCTGCAGTGGGAACAACAAAGGTGACACATTTCCTACTTTCTTACTTCTAGCCCTTTTAGGATTAGCAACCTTTAACCGTTTTTATCAGTTTGACCCTGACAATAAGTTGCGCAAAGGAACATGCTTGGTCCCTTTCTGACTCATCCCCATCCGACCTCGGTGTTTACTTAGGAGAGCACAGGCAAATTGCTGTGTCTTTATTCCTTGAGCACAGCGTCTGTTGGAGTAGTTTGCTGGAGATAAAGAGGAGTATCCCGTAGTTGGGCTTTATCTCTGCCTGTCCTGCTCAGAGGGGCAGGTTGACCATGAGGGTATCAGCATTAATTTAGAAATTTCCCTTTTCCACGTGTACTTTTTTAACCATCTTCTCAGCATTATCATTCTAGATAAACGTTAGCTTTCTGCCATGAATGGTCTTGGCCACCTTTCAGTTTCATTTGTAGTTTCTATTCCGCCTGCTCAAGCCTGTGCAGAGTGGTGCTGCACACTTCCTGCATTTAAAGAAAAACTTCAGAGATGTTTAAAATTTCCACTCTTTTTGAAACCCTTCCTTGACTTGCTCTTGATGATGGTTTGATAATATCAGTTGCAGGAAAGATCTGTGATAATCTGGGGCTTAAAACCCCCCTTAGGACACGAAAGTGCCTATAAATCAGGATCAATGTTGAAGAAAATCCTCCTTATGTTGAAAAGAGAGGGCAGGCATTGCCATTGTATAATCAGTTGGCAAAGGACCTTGTGAAAAAACAAGGAGGCAGAGTGTGTTTTCTTTCTTACTGTTGAAAACAATAGGACAGGATGAGGTGTTAATAATCATCTATTTCAAGACCTTCCAGCTGGCAAATTGCGAGGCAATTCCATCCTGCCTCCCGGGGATTTGAGATGCCTCCTTATGTGCCTGAGCTTGCCCAGAGCTCCAGGTTGAGAGCCCCGTGAGCTGGCAGTGACGCGGTGTCTCTGCAGCCGGGCAAAGCCTGGACGGGCTCGAGCAGACGGTGCCATAAATGTGCACAGGGCTTTGTGGGGAACCAAGCCCCTGTTTGGAATATGCAGTCTGTAGCGTGAAAAAAAGGACTTGATTTCACTGAAAAACATTAAACAGGGAGGAAGATGAAGGGAGACGGTAAGAATTCAGGGAAAGTCTTGACAGAATTAAGAGAATTTAGGAGGGAAAAAAAGTTGCAAAATGGTTTTAAGTGGAAGGAGAGGTTTATGTCCGTGAAAGTAAGAGGATTGGAGCAGCAGTTTTCTGGCAGAGCCCAAACCAGCTCTAATCCCTGCACCGTTGGGATGTACCAGCCTCCAGCTATTCCCACAGTAAGAAGTCATGCCTCACCAGAGCTCCCAGGTTGGAACTGAAGCTGCCACACTGCTCGTTATGCCTGACCACATGAAAACGAGCATAATTTGCATCCAGGCCTTGGCTTCGGGCTGAGTGACAGCGCAGGATGCAGAGATGCCCGGTCTGGACCAGCCTCGGGCTCCTCTGCAGCAGGCACTGCTGATGAGCTGCCTGTGTGGACACATTTACTGTGTAAGAAGAACAATATCCAGGGGGGAAATTCAGAACAGCTGTTCTGCTTTACTCACCTCACCTTAATCTGGGTAAATTAATCTGCATAGGCACGGAAATGCTCCTAACGGGGAGAATCTGTGTTGTCTGTGAGCCTGACCTCGCCGTGGCTTCAGTCACAGAATCACAGAATGCTATGGGGTTGGAAGGGACCTCTGGAGATCATCCAGTCCAACCCCCCTGCCAAGCAGGTGGACCAAAGCAGGTCCATCCAGAGCAAGAAAGTGTCCAGGCAGGGTTTGAATGTCTCCAGAGAAGGAGACTCCACCACCTCTCTGGGCAGCCTCTTCCAGGGCTCTGCCACCCTCACAGGAAAGAAGTTCCTCCTCACGTTGAGATGGAACTTATGATCATCTTTGTGTCCATTTCCTCTTGTCCTGTCCCTGGGCACCACTGAAGAAAGACCAGCCCCATCCTCCGGACACCACCCTTAAAGTATTTATAGGTGTTGATCAGATCCCCCCTCAGTCTTCTCTTCTCCAGAGTAAAAACCCCAAGTCCTTCAGCCTCTTCTCTTAAGAGAGATGCTCCAGGTCCCTCATCATCTTGGTAGCCCTTTGCTGTCCCCTCTCCAGCAGTTTCCTGTAGTTTTTGAACTGGGGAGCCCAGAACTGGTCCCAGTGCTCCAGATGGGGCCTCTCCAGGTCAGAGTCCCACTGCACCACCCCAGAGCTGTGTCTGCTCCCAAACGCTGCAGACATCTCAAGCTCATGAGTCTCCCCAGCTGACGGGAATGGAGCACAGTGTCTCCTCTCTGACAGTTTCTCCAGCGTGTGGAAATGGCAGCTGCTCACCTGAGGAGAAGACAGGAGCTGGGGGATGTCTGGTTGAATTAAGGTTGCTTCAGCCCCCGTCCTGCCACAGCACCAGCATCCCACTGGGATGCCCATCCACAGTGAAACGGGAAAACTCCATGTTCTCTCCCCTTCCTTACATGAAAGCAGTGATCATAGGCACTGCCTTTAATTACATTCAAACAGTTACAGTATTTTTTTCTCTTAAAAGCTTCTCTTTTCAAGTTAAATCTTTGTATAGACAAGTCCTATAAATCAAAAAGTCTTAAACAGCTGTTTTTCTGCATTTCTACCATCCCACCATACACAAACTTCACTCCATAAACCACTGGGAACACAGGAAAAACCTCTTGTGTCAAGCAACCATCCATCTAATCCCATGTCCAGTCAGCAGCAGTGACTAATAGAAGATGCTGAGAAGGAGAATAAATACTATAGAGTAAGAGGTATAGAAGCATCTCACATCTTGATTATTTTCCTTTCTATCTCAAATATTTAGAAAAAAAACATGAAGGAAACGTGGAACTTCACCAGGAAGATGGCTTTGGATTCCCCTTGATGTGGCAACTAATAGAAGATGCTGAGAAGGAGAATAAATACTATAGAGTAAGAGGTATAGAAGCATCTCACATCTTGATTATTTTCCTTTCTATCTCAAATATTTAGAAAAAAAACATGAAGGAAACGTGGAACTTCACCAGGAAGATGGCTTTGGATTCCCCTTGATGTGGCATTTCTTCTGATGCCCTTGTTCTCAGGTATGTGGCATATTGTTTGTTTGTTTTCAGGCAAAAATCTATTAGCTAATCTATTAATTATAAAATTAAGGCACTATTAACATTTAAATGCTAAAGGAAAAGTAAAACCATAGAGTCATAGAATGGTTAGAGTTGGAAGGGACCTTAAAAATCATCAAGTTCCAACCCCCCTGCCCTGGGCAGGGACACCTCCCACCAGCCCAGGTTGCTCCAAGCCCCCTCCAACCTGGCCTTGAACCCCTCTAGGGATGGGGCAGCCACAGCTTCTCTGGACAACCTGTTTCTGTGTCTCACCACCCTCATGGCAAAGAATTTCTTTCTAGTATCTAATCTAAATCCTTCTTCTTTCAAAATCTAAATCCTTCCTATTTCAATTTAAAACCATTACCCATTGGCCTATCACTACATTCCCTGATTAAGAGTCCCTCCCCGTCACTCCTGTAGTACCTTCAGGTACTGGAAGGCCAATATAAGGTCTCTCTGGAGCCTTCTCTTCTCCAGGCTGAACAACCCCAGCTCTCTCAGTCTGTCTTCAGAGCAGAGGTGCTCCAGCCCTCCCATCATTTTCGTGGCCCTTCACTGGACCTGTTCCATCATGTCCATGTCCTTTCTGTGTTGAGGACTCCAGAGCTGGACACAGCACTCCAGGTGGGGTCTCACCAGAGCAGAGCAGAGGGGCAGAATCACCTCCCTCGACCTGCTGGCCACACTTCTCCTGATGCAGCCCAGGGTGGGGTTGGCTTTCTGGGCTGCCAGCATGCACTGCTGGCTCGTGTCAAGCTCCACATCAGACTCACTGCTTGAATTTTTATGGCCTCAAGTTGCGCCAGGGGAGGTTTAGATTGGATATTAGGAAAAATTTCTTCACAGAAAGGGTTATCCAGCATTGGAATGGGCTGCCCAGGGAAGTGGTTGAGGCACCATCCCTGGAGGTGTTCAAAAGACGGGTAGACATGGTCCTCAGGAATATGGTTTAGTGATTTTTTATTGCTTATTTCTTAATTTATTTTTTTGTCAGAGTTAGGTTTTTGGTTGGACTAGATGATCTTGAAGGTCCCTTCCAACCTAGAACATTCTGTGATTCTGTGATTCTATGATTCTCTAAGTTTTGAGTTACATGCCCAGGCACGTAACATCCGTAACAGAACTCCATGCAAAATATCCATTTCTCTTTCATACAGATTCCCAATTTACTCATACAAGAGATGGGATTGTGAAGTTACATTCATTACTATTTTTACTGTGTTACAGTCTTAAAATGAAAGTCAACATTGGAGGGCAAATGTTATCCTTAGCTTAAAAATGAAAGCTTAAGGGTAAGAAAACGAGCACCTTTAATTCTATCACACTATTCTTACTCACTACATCTCCTGTTAGACACCTTTATCTGCTGCCTGATGTCTTCCTTACACACAGCTGAACCTTTAATTTTACAAGGATGCAATTATACATTCTTTTCAAGGGTTATCAGTTGGCTTTTAGGAGGTTTAGGAGGTTTTAAACCTCCCAGGAGCATGCCAGAGCTCATTTGTTCTTGTTTGAACCACTAATATTCTAAGCTAAAAGCAGCCCAAACACAAGACACTGATGAGCTTCTGGTAAATGAGCAATTCTCATTATGCATTGTTATGAATTATGGGGTGTATCTAGCAGCCTGGCTTTCCACAGGCTCTCCTGGACACGTGGCTGGCACAGGGCAGCAAAAAGCTACGCCCTGGAATGACAAAGGTCTGCCTGGGACCCAGTACCTGCCAAGTGACTGGCACATCAGGTCTCCTCAGTGAGATACAAAGGAGTTGATCAGCTCTGATCTGTTGCAGGATTCACCCACTTTTGTTTCAACTTCTTTTTTCCTCCCATGAGACTTTATAGTCTTGGTGTTTCCTGTCTCTTTCTTCCTTTTCTCTTTGTTCTTTCTTTCAGTCTCTCACACTCTAGGCAGTGCCTGCCTCCTAAAACCTCTCAGAGCTGCCCTCTGTTTGGTCTCAACGTTATTTTTCTTTTCTGGTGCACTGTTTGATCTTTGCCTGGATGCCCTTGGATCTATATTTCTTGTTATTTTCTCTTCACCTTTTTCCTGTTTCTTATTCCATTTTACAGTCTCCAGTCTCAACTGTGCTTAAACACTTTCTGAACTCAGCGGTGTAAACGTAAGGGAAAGCCATCAGCAGAATGGCAATAAACACAGGGCCAAGAATAGCCCAGAGAAGGCTCAGGTGGGATCTCATCAATGTCTACAAGTACCTGAAGGGAGGCTGCAAAGAGGATGTAACATCAGCAGGTTTGCAGATGACACCAAGTTAAGCAGGAGTGTTGATTCCCAGGAGGATAGGGAAGCTTTGCAAGAGGATCTAGATAGATTGGATCACTGGGCCAATGCCAATGGAATGAGTTTCACCAAGGGCAAGTGCCAGGTTCTGCACTTGGGCCACACCAACCCCCTGCAGCGCTACAGGCTGGGGGAAGTGTGGCTGGAGCTGCCTGGAGGAAAGAGACCTGGGGGTTCTCGTTGACAAACGGCTGAATATGAGCCGGCCGTGTGCCCAGGGGGGCAAGAAAGCCAATGGCATCCTGGCTTGTATCAAAAATAGTGTGACCAGCAGAAGTAGGGAGGTGATTGTGCCCCCGTACTCAGCACTGGGGAGGCCACACCTCGAGTGTTGTGTCCAGTTTTGGGCACCTCAATCCAAGAGAGATCTGGAGGTGCTGGAGCGAGTGCAGAGGAGGGCAACGAAGCTGGTGAGGGGGCTGGAAAACAAATCGTATGAGGAGCGGCTGAGGGAGCTGGGGCTGTTTAGTGTGAGGAAGAGGAGGCTGAGGGGAGACCTCATCACTCTCTACAACTACTTGAAAGGACACTGTAGAGAGGTTGGTGCTGGTCTCTTCTCACAGGTAATTAGTGACAGAACGAGAGGGAATGGCTTCAAGCTCCAACAGGGGAGGTTTAGATTGAACATGAGGAAAGCATTTTTCACCGAAAGAGTGGTCGGGCATTGGAACAGGCTGCCCAGGGAGGGGGTGGAGTCCCCATCCCTGGCTGTGTTTAAGGGCCGTTTAGATGCAGTGCTAAGGGACATGGTGTAGGGGAGGTCTTTGTAGAGTAGGGTAGATGGTTGGACTCGATGATCCCAAGGGT